TTGTGGTGAGCCGAGATCGCGCCATTGCACTCCAGCCTGGGTAACAAGAGCGAAACTCCGTCTCAAAAAAAAAAAAAAAAAAATGTGGCTCCTGCCTGTAATCCCAACACTTTAGGAGGCTGAGGTGGCCGGTTAACTTTGAACTCAGGAGTTCAAGACAAGCCTGGGCAACATAGCAAAACCCCATCTCTATGAAAAATACAAAAATTGTCCAGGCATGGTGGCTCATGCCTGTTGTGGCAGCTCTTCAGGAGGCTAAGGAGGTCAAGGCTGCAGTAAGCCAAGATCACGCCACTGCATTCCAGCCTGAGCAACCGAGCAAAACCCTGTCAAAAACAAGCAACAACAACAACAACAAAACCCTGTATCTATTGTCAGGAGGATAACTATAAGAATTACTAAGGCTATGAAATTGTAAGTTTTCCACAAATTTAGCATAATACCTTAAAGTACTGTTTATCACCCTCTGTTCCCGTTACCCCAGAGAAATGTGACAAAATGCCAGAATAATTGGGGTCCATCTTCTCTGGAAAACCAATTTTGCTTCAAGATTTTTGGTATTAAAAAGTTTAATTTAACTAGTATGTAATTTAAACAACATATGCATATTCTTAAATGTAAATATTTCAGATTAGAATGCAAATCCTATGAAATTTAAATTAAAACATGAACATGTAGATAAATATTTTCTTCCTGCAGAAGCCACCTTGAGCAAAGCCCCAGAGCCCTTGAGCTGCCTGTCCCCCTCCTCTGACGTGATGGGTAATCTGATGGAAGCTCTGAGAGACACTGCCTAGAACTGAGCCCTATGTGTAAACGAAGCAAGGAGGACAGAACATGTGCTATCAAATATGATTCATGATTCAAATATATTTTAATATCTGATTCTTTTCGCACTCTGAGAAACCATTCTGATAATGTGATTGTTTTATAAAAGAGTGTATCTTCGGATAATATAAAGATTTTATAGCTATTGCACAGTTTTAATAAGCAAAAGACTTGCTAGGTTGAACTGGGTTCAACCCATACCACTGTACAATTTAATTCAACACAATATTCCTCTGTTTAAAGTGCATGTAATTGCCAATTTATACAGTCGCCAAGACCAAAGGTTTGCTAAATAGAGTTCTGCAAACACAGTATGGAATGCTTTATCCTCAAGTACCATAAACCAAGAATGAATGAAACTAATCATTAATCAATCATGTATCTAATTCATTTCAAGGGCTTCTTTCAACTGTACAATTACCCAATGAATAAATTCAAATCCACCTGTGTTAGTTATTTCTCTAGGTCTTATCACCATAAATTTTAAAAATCCTTAGAAATTCAAGGAAATGTGTAAAATGAAATTGACATTATCTTAAACAGTATTAGATTGTTATTCCCTCTTCTTTCATAAAGATTTTCTTTATGGAGAGTTATTCTTAAACAGCACTGATATTTCTGAAAGTTTCCCCAAGTGCTCCATTCTTAAAGAAATTTTTATTTAAAGGATGAACGATGCATAAAACTGCTTAGTGTGTGTGTGTTTCAGTGAAAGGCATTACACTATAAAAACTCATTCTACAACTTTTTTCCCCTCTAAATTGTAATTTTGGGGATGTAGTAAATATATTACTATGTATAAATAGATCTAATTCTACTAACCGGAAAAAAACACTCATGATAGACGTTGTTTCTAGGGACCTAGGGAGGGGAATGAGGCTTGGAATGGCACACAAAAAGCATGTGAACTTTATATATAATGTGTTATTTATTTTATTAAATATTGAAGTAAATCTGACAAAATGGCAACAATAGTAAGGATTTGAAAATATAGCCTTATTTTCTCACTCAAGTAAACAAACACAAATTTTCCTTTTATATGTAAAGAACTTTTTCAATTTTGCAAAGAAATGTTCTTTAAAATTCACAAAGAAAGATTGCTGCTGGCTGTTGAATGTCTTCTTTGCTCCTTACTCTGCTTTAGGGGGCTCTGGCCCCTCCTGCTCATCTGCACAGCAACATGGATCCAGTTAGCTTTGGTGCCTCAGCAGAAACCTGCATTGCACATTGATGTATATCTTAGCAGGCTCTATCCTCTGCGTCCTTTCAGCCTGTGCAACCCCTCCTTAGTCACCCGGTAGATGATGATCTTTTTGAAACTCCTGACTATGGACACACACTTTCTGATATTATCCAGTACTCTCTGTGGGCCCTTGATCAACAATTGACCTTGAATAAGCTCTTTCCCTGGGAAATGTGAAACTCCAATGCAAAAGCAAGAAATCCACGTCCACAAGATGGCAAAGCCCCTGATTCTATGTGCTTCTTCCCTCCATCCATTCAATAACTCTTTAAGAGTATGCGCTATGGTAGGCACTGTCCTAGATGCAGGGGATACAGCGAAAAGATGAAGATCTGTCCTTGGAGTTTCCCCCCTTATTGGGGAGTTGGTAGATAGGCAATGAACAAATTAAGTAATTATCTGGTATATGAGAAGGTGGAAAGTACTACAGAAAGTAATCGCACATACAAAGCACTAGGGATGGGGTGGTGAGGAAGGCATCACTGCAAAGGCAACATGTGGGCATGTTGAAGGAAAAAAAAGTTGTGATCCATGTGGATATCTAGGGATAAAAACATTGCAGGCAGAAGAAAAAGCAAGAGCAATGGCCCTGAGGTAGGAGTATGCATGGAATTCTCAAAAAACAGCTCCCACGTGTATGAGGAATGCAAGGGAATGGCTGGAGAGATACTCAGTTGCAAAGTTTGCTCTGCCCTCCATGTGAGTGCTACTCAAAGTGTAGTTATCAGAAGGGCAGCATTGGTCTCACCTGAGAATATGTTAGAAATGCAGATTCCCGTTGGGGGGAAATGGGGGAGGGACGGGGGGTGGGGAAGTGGGAAGAGATAGCATGGGGAGAAATGACAGATACAGGTGAGGGGAAGGAAGGCAGCAAACCACACTGCCATGTGTGTACCTATGCAACAATCTTGCGTGTTCTTCACATGTACCCCAAAACCTAAAATGCAATTAAAAAAAAAAAAGAAAGAAAAGAAATGCAGATTCTTGGCCGGGCGCGGTGGCTCAAGCCTGTAATCCCAGCACTTTGGGAGGCCGAGGCGGGTGGATCACAAGGTCGAGAGATCGAGACCAACCTGGTCAACATGGTAAAACCCCGTCTCTACTAAAAATACAAAAAATTAGCTGGGCATGGTGGCACGTGCCTGTAATCCCAGCTACTCAGGAGGCTGAGGCAGGAGAATTGCCTGAACCCAGGAGGCGGAGGTTGTGGTGAGCCGAGATCGCGCCATTACACTCCAGCCTGGGTAACAAGAGCGAAACTCCGTCTCAAAAAAAAAAAAAAAAAAGAAATGCAGATTCTTCCGTATCACCCCAAACCTATGGTATCAGAATCTCTGGGGTGGTTTTTTTGTTTTGTTTTGAGACAGAGTTTCGCTCTCATTGCCCAGACTGGAGTGCAATGGCGCAATCTTGGCTCACTGCAACCACCGCCTCCTGGGTTCAAGCAATTCTCCTGCCTCAGCCTCTTGAATAGCAGGGATTACAGGCATGCCTCACCACACCCAGCGAATTTTTGTATTTTTAATAGAGACAATGTTTCTCCATGTTGGTCAGCCTGGTCTCAAACTTCCATCCTCAGGTGATCCACCAACCTTGGCCTCCCAACGTGCTGGGATTAACAGGAGTGAGCCACTGCACCTGGCCCAGAATCTCTGGGGGTGTTTTAACTCTCCACCTGATTCTTATTCATGCTAAACTTCTCCAACACTCCTAATAATAAAAAGAAAAAAGCATCGATTTTTGGCTTCAAAAATCCTAAAATGAAAATGGAATTCTGTCCCTTACTAATACTCTAACACTGGATTCATTGCACAATTTGTCTAGGCCTCAGCTTCCTTGTATATAAAACAGACAAATCCATGCCTGCTCATTTTAACCAAGAGTTGCTTTAAAAAATTTAAATATCAAATGTGATGGCAAATGTTAAAGGAATGTGGTGACTGTAAATCTCTTGACAAATGTGGGGTTTTATTATTATGTACATAAGCCCGCAAGCCCATCTACCCTCAGGCATTTGTACTTTTCTGTACCCACTGCCCTCAATCCCCACCCCTTCATCCCCCACAACTACCACCAATGCTACTGGGCGGGTAAAGACTTGCCCATGAAAAGCTCACAGTGAGTCTGATCTGATTTTGTTCAATTTGGCGCAGAGCCTTGGCATTGGAGACTGCAGCTGGTGATGTGCTGTCATGATATATGTCATACCTGTCCTCGCGTTGGCAGGAAAGACCCTTGCCACCAAGCATTTCAGACTAGGATAATGGCACAACAGAGAGGCTTGCGACACTTAGCCCAGAACACTTCCATCATTCTTTCTATCCCAAAGTATTTGTTACGTTTTATGCAAACGGTACATGTTTGCTTGGTGTATGCAGTGAAGAGAACACTGGGTTTGGAGTCAAAAGAAAAGGGATCCAGCCCCCAAGTTCAGTAGAGGACCCAGAGAGCTCACAGTACCACTCTGAGCTTGCCCTTGCTATCTACTTCCCAAGGGGGTGGGAGTTACCTAAATTAACATACGTGAAAGCTCTTTGCAAAAAATAAAGCACCGTGTAAGAGAATAGGACATTGTTATCACAATCCAGTTCCTCAGTAGGTCAGTCACTCAATAAACAGCTGACAAATATTTACCGAGACCACAAAGTACCTGGCTCTGTGCCAGGCTCTGGGACACAGCAGTAAATGACAGAATAAATCCACACCGTGTGTGGCGCTTATATTCCAATAGAAGAACAGAGAAAACAAACACAGCAACAGTAAAACATGTAGTCTGTCCAGTGGTAGTAAGTGCTTTAGAGAACAATAAACAAGAGGAAGCTGAAAGGTAGGAGAAAAGGGATTATAAGGTAGGAGAAAAGGGATTATAAGGTAGGAGGAAAGGGTAGCTAGGAAGGGCACTGCTGAGAAGGTGCATTTAACCAAAGACTGAAGGAAGGGCTCGAGTCTGCGTCAGGGCCGCAAGTTCAAATCATGCTCAGAACGTGTTGAGACCAGTTCTGGCCTGTTTGGTCTTCATACACCCATGATCCAGAATACTTGCAGAATTTTCCTTATTTCTAGTCTTTTGTACCATATTTGGGATAATTAGCTGAATATCATCAGTGCCATGGATAATTCATGCAAAGGCGCAAGCCCAAGCCATGTGAACGGCCTATTTGAAAACGTTTTTTTTTTTTTTTTTTAACTGAGGCTTCTGGGACAGTGGCTATTGAATAAATGCCTCTTCTGCCCACCCCAGAATCCAGTGACGTTTCAGCAGCATGAAGATGGGAGCCACATGCTATACTTATAGGCTAGAGATAAACTTCATGTCCTTCTTATTTTTATTGTTAACATTACTGTTTTGATTCTATCATTCACTCCTATTTGCCGAGCATCTACTATAGGCTTAGTATTTTGCAGCTCTAATGAGAAGAGGAATTATTTTTTTAAAAAATGACTATAGCACTCTCACATTGCAGAGGGAAAGGATGCATATTTAGATATCTAGGTGAATTTTCCATTTCTGCAAAGGTGGACTCCAGAGCCCAGTGTGCAATGTGAGTATTGAGTATGCTATGTAATCAAGTAAGAGAACATTTTTATTTTCCAGTGACAGATGTGGGGTTTGGGGTTCAGGGAACCCAGAAATAGGAGGATCTAAGAGAAGGTGATAGGGACTATGGGAGCAGGTCCCAAGAAATGGAAGGGTAGCCAGAGTTGAAAGAATGGGAGAGTAATGAGAATTCCCTGGGGCCAGAATGGGCAAGAAGTTTAAGAACAGTAGAAATTAACATTTTATTTTAAATGTGTTTTCTATTCCATGCTATAGCTGTCCTCCATCACCAAAACCCTCAGTAAAATCTGCTGTATACAACCTTCCTATTGTCTTCAGGGAATGAAGGAGAATGGAGCTAGATCTGCAACAGAAGCTGCAGAAAACAAGATGGCAGCCCAGGTCCCAGCAGAAGCCAGAGTTGGAAACAAGAGAAGCAGACGAATGTGACCACCCGCCACACCCACCCACAGGGAATCCTAGGGACTGAAATCATTTTGTGTTTGCCTTCAACTTAAGATAGGTCCCAGAGAATTGGAGGATGTGGGGACCAGGATGCCTCATTGCACAACTCCAAGAGGCACATTACAGTCGGTGGGTGTACAGGAGGGCGCGGCACTCTAGTTACATCCACATCATCTCATTTAATCTTCACAACCCTCCTGGAAGAAAGGCATCATGATCCTTGTCTCACAGATAAAGAAACTGAGACTTCGAGAATATGTCATATGCACAGTCACTATATGTCTATTAGGGGGAATCAGTGTTAAGACTCAGTTCATTCCAACCTCAAAATCCACTCCAACTTGTATGTGACCTGTTTCTATGAAGTAGTGAATGCAAGAGGGTCCCCCACAGACAGTGCCTCCCACACTCCCTTCCATCTTAAGATCCTCATGATTCTAGGTTCCCCACACCTCAGTCTCCATATCTGTCCCTAGAAAATGGAAACATTCTCTTACTCAATTTTATGACATATTCAATCCTTCCATTTCACAGAAGGTTCTGGAGTCCCCCTTTGCAGAAATAAATGTAGCTCTGTGACTTCCGAACTATACTCCTCCACCTAAATTCAGGCAGCAAGAACCTACAGAGACTTAAAAGAACCCCAAAATCCAGTAATTTTGAAACACCACATCGCAGCTTACCCAAAAACTTTGCCTGCTTTTTATCCAGACCTATGTGCGTGTAAATATGTGCACATAGGTCTGGCTAAAAAGCAGGCAAAGTGAGGCAGAAGTGTAGAGGAGTTCATAAGTGAAGGGAAATCACGGCCCAGGAAATACTCTGCTTGCTTTTTTCTGCCTTAGTCTCAAATTCCAAATCCTACTCCATTTAAAATACATAACTCAGTTTTTGAAGACAACTTTAAAAGATCATTGTAATCTCCCGTTTCCCTTTCCCCTATGTAAGCTACAAATGCAATCAATTTAAAACATCACCAAGACTGTAGACTGACTGTAGCCAATCAACTCTCAGCACCAGAGGAGTCCTGAAAGCAAGTCTTATTTCCCGAGCTTTTCCAAACCTTCTCCATTAACTTGTCTCCCCAGTAACGTCCTCAGTATCTTCCATTCTGATTGCAGTTAGCACATGAGCTCCAGGCATCAAATACCAGCCTTCTCGACATTTTCATTTTCATGTTTATCTCTTCCTTTCCATTCAGTCCTTAGACCCCTCTGTATGTGACTCAGCCTTCAATCAGGACAAATGTTTCTTTGCTTCTTTGATGCTGTGAGTCCGGTGGAAATCAGGTGGCTGCAAATAAGTGTTCTATGGCTTGTCACTCTGGCCAACAAACAAATAATTTAGACTTGTGACAAGCTGATTAGGTAAGATAAATCAAAATCCACCATGTGCCGGAGCACTCACTTTGAAGGACTCCCTGTCATTGGTTCCAGAGAAGCTTGTCCAGGCTTTAGTCATGATCTAAAAGATTCTTCATCAAGCAAAGACAGAGGATGCTATTAGTGGTAACTGAGAAGATGGACACATCCTTCCTCTTGCGAGGCTAGCTCAGTTATTCTTAGGCCACCCAAATAAAAGTACCAGATCTTATATAAGCCCTGATGCCTGTTCTCTGGAGGAAAATCTGTTTTTGATAGTTCAAGTTTCCCCATTTAAAATTTGCAACATAAAAACAAGTAAGAGGAGAAGAAAAGAGTGCTTTTCTTTTCACACAATGCTGTTAACAATCTAGTTATTTCTCTGCTATAATAATCCAAGCCATGATGTGCCTCGCACACCATGGTGGCATTACTGCGGGGACCCTCACCTTTATCACCTGCACAGATCTTTTCTATTTTATTTCAAGTTAACAGACAAGTCATTGTATCACTTATTTAAGGAAGTTGCTTAATGAAGGATACATCAAGCGCTTTGGAAGCTGAAAGAGTTCCTGTCTCCAGAATTCACTGGTCCTCTGGTCTGTGGACTGCAGTCATCCCAGAGCTAATCAGAACTTGTGGGGAGTTGATCTTTTAGAAACAAAACTATTTAAGGCAAAAAGGACATGTGTCAGTTCATGATAGTGAAAAGCCTAGGGTAGCTCTAGAACGGCAAGGCTGGATTCAGGTGTTCCAACACTGCCGTCAGAGAGCTGTCTCTCTCCAATTCCATCTCACCACTGCACAGCGAGAAAGCTGCCAACAGCTCCACATTCATTTTCATCATTCATAAAGCCTACTGGAAAGAGAGTCTCTTCCCAGAAGTTCCAAAGAAAACCTTAGGATTGTGTATCATTGCCATAGCTTAAGGAGGTGAAATGGCTGGACCTGTGCTCATCCGGGAGCTGACAGTGAGGTTCAAGACTGAATCACAGAAACTGCAAATCATAGAGAAACGTCCCCAAATGTAGTTGAATTGTTGTTACCAGAAAACGAGTGAACGGATACTGGGCAAACAAAGACAAGAATGAAGGTGGACAGCCGACCAGCCAGCAGGCACTGGCTCATTTCCAGCTGACCCTAGGATTGGTCAAGTGGTCCATGCTCGGTGTTTCAGAGGCTCTGCAGAACCAGCTCACTAAACAGAGGAAGGAAACAGTGTACACTACCCAGCAGTGACAGAAAAGAAAGGCATCTTTTGTTGAGGAGTAAAACTGCACACCCAGCCCCAAACCCACCACCATTCCGCTGGTTTTTCTCCTCTTCCCTCCAGCCTGCTCTCCAGCTCACCCCTCTGCATCCCAAAGCTGCCAAGTAGGGTTTTTTGGGTTTTTTTTTTTTGGTTGCTGTTTTCTCTTTCCTTCCCATTTGTCCTTGAAAATCATCTAAATCTAACATTCTTTTAAAGTAAATAGCCTCTTGTGGATAACTACTGGTGAGTTCAGCTATACCAATAACTACCAGAATTTTACATTCAGAAATATAACACGATACACATCTGAAACCAGTCATGTCAAAATAAAGTTTTATGTGCAGCACCACCAGAGCAAGGATCAAGAATCAATGGGATAACACAGATTTCTAACTGTATAAAATTGGAGGAGACAGGAAAAAAAAACTCAGCAATTTGCTTCAGATGCTGTATCTCCTTAAAGAGGACTCTAGACCTCACAGTCCCTGGAGGATGATCCCAGTGGCCTCCTGTGTTGAACACAAAAGAATCAGAATGTTCCTTCCTCAAGGAAGGCAATCATATACTTGTTGAATGGTTACTAAGAAAGTCCAAATGCTAAATGACAAAAACATAGAGTTGGCTATTATGGTGAAGATTCTAGCTACTATAGGCAGTTTAAGAAGGATGCTACATCATAGGACTGCTCAGAGTTATTCAGGAAGGTCTGCCTCACAATATGGGACAAATGTCAGTGTTACTAGTTATATCTGATAGGATTCTTTGATGACAAACGATTGAAACCCATACTGGTTAACTTAACCATAAAGAGAGTTATCAAAAAAAAGCTGCAATGTGGCCCACAGAATTGAAAGAATAGCTAAAGAATGAATGAATACAACAAGGGCAAGACCTCTCCAGGGATCAAGGCAGCAGCAGAAAATTGGTATCCTAGCAGGGTGCAGCTTTTCCATCCAGATATCACTGCTTAAGAGTTTAGTGTCCCAGAAGAGAAACTGATTGGTCCAGACTGGGTCACATGCCACTACCTGGTTGTCAGGGGTGGTAGTTTGTGGGGTGTGGAGAAGACACTTAGATACCTGGATTGACTGTTCAACCAAGACTGCACCCAATGTGGAGAATGTAATTCCAAATGAAATCAGAGTACTATTACTTGAAGAAAAGGGCAATGGTGCTCCGTAGAGAATGAAGGAAGAAGGAAGGAAGGCAGGAAAAAAGGAAGGAGAAAAGAGAGAGAGGGAGGAATAGAAGAAGCAGAGAGAGACAAGAAGGATGGGAGAGGGAGGGAAGGAAGTTACTTAATCTCTCTATATTTTAGTTTCTGTTCTATCAGATGGAAGTAATTACTGTATCTTCTTCCTAGAAGTGTTACGAATACCACGTAAAGCACTTAGCACAGGGTCTGAAACATAGTAAACGCTCAATAATTTCCGGCATTTGTCCTAGATGGGAAGCCACAGAAGGGACACTTGGCAAAAAGAAACAGGAAACGACGTGCTGCTCTGAAATAATTGATAAATTATTTGTTTGTTATTAACTTAACTTACTGAAAATTATTAAATGACTAATTATCCAAGGGATATAGCAGAGCAATAGAAAGAGATACAGAGTGCAGTGTGTCCCCAAACTGGAAAAACTTAGACGCGTCGTCGGATATAAGCAACGTTAGTTGACGCAGTTGTCTACCCATGAAAGTGGGGTTGTTATCTGAGTTTTCAGCAAGTATTTTAACACATTGGTGAGTACTCAGTCCAGGTAGAAAGTCCTAGATGACCGACATCCGTGAGATGTCCAAAGAATAGCCGCACATTTAATCCCGCAGCCTGCTTGCACTGGCCATTAACATGCCTGCTCTGCGACACCAGCACAAGGTTCCCAGGTCTGTCACGCTTGGCATCTGCTTAAGTCTGCTTGGAATGATGACAGTCAGGGTCCCATGCTGACTGGCAATCCCTTCCACGCAGCTGCACTAAAGGAAACCTCCAGCAGAGTGGCGGTGTTATTAGAGGCAAACCAGCCGTCAATTTGCTCCGTTGTTAGGTTCCAATTACGCACAGCCAATTATGGTGGTGGAGGAGGAGAGATATTTCAGGTAAGAACCCTGAGTTACACATAACCTCCATCGAAGCAAGCCGACCTTCTTGGAACAGTGTTCCTTTGCTGGTACCTCAGCCACGCAGACTGTTAACTAGCCAGTCCTTTCTACGCACAAACCTACGAATATACATGATATGCATCTGACGAGCATTTCCCAGCAGGCAAGTGTATTACTGAAAACGGAGAATTGAGTTGAGCTGAAATGAGAAAGGGGGAGGCATCCCCATCAGCCTGCTATGTTTCCATCACTGGTAGTGGCTGCTCTGTTCCATCCCAAAGGGGAACTGCTCTCTTCTGCATCATCATGTCATTTTTTATTATGCCAGCAAATGATAAGGCAAAAACCCATCATCACAAACCAGCCTGTGAAAAACTAACTAACAATATGAAGTTGAAAATGAAGAAGAAAGTTTTGCATTTCCTTTCACCTGTAGGGGAAAAAATGATGAAGCCCAAAGCAAGCTCCTCACCATTCCGCAGTCCATCTTACTTTAAAATACACGGCATACAGACTGAACAGGAAGATTTCTGCTATGCACGGCAATTG